AAATTAATAGTGAATGGGAAGAGATGAACTTGCACCAGAGAGGAGAGAGAGAGAGAAAGTGCTATCAAATAGACTTTTCTAATTTAGAAATATTTAGAAACATTACATAAGGGGCACATTTAGAACTTCAGTATAAGCTTCTGTTATCAAGAATGACTATTATAAATATAGTAGGTTCAAGATTGTTCTCAATGCATGGGATGCCATAATATGATATGTGGATAGTGATTTCCTAGCAGAACAATTTAATAGTATATATATATGTGTGTATATATATATCACACTATATTGTTTACTTTATTTTTGTCTACCACAGACTTTCTGATTTCTGCTTTATTGTGTTTGCATTCCTTTGATCTCTCTAGACTGCTGGTATGCCTTCATTATTATATAATAATTTTCATGCATTGCTTTTGTTAATTAGTAGTCAATAGGAAAACTAAATGTTTTTAAAGAAAAGATTTATGCAAAAGGTCACAAGCACATTTAGGTGAGTGTGTCAGGTTTTCTTAGTAGACTATCCGAGAGCCTTACTTAAACAGCGTGTTTCAGTCACCCAGCAATCTGGAACAAAAGGTAGAATCTCCATGTCCTGTTTATATGCAGTGGAATTTTGCAGACTTAAAGAACAACAGTGATCTTTCAGTGCATTTAAGGGCCTTTCTGTTTTGGTTTTCTTCCATTTTTTTAAGCAAATAAAATAATTAAAAGTGTCAAACAATTTAGAGTTTGGAGTAAATCACACTCAACCCTGATTTTGTGGCATGTCAGCGCTATCAGAATAAAATGATATCATTTCACTATGATTACTATAATGGATTATCCCCAAAGCTTGTCTTGAGAGAAGAAGAAAGAAAGAAAAACAACAATGATAAAAAGAAAAATCAAACGTGAGTTACAGTTCTGAATCTTGCTAATCCTGGCTCAATATTTTTCCTCCTTCAAAGCCGGACTTTTTTCTAATATACCACACAGATTTCTTATATGATTTTCTATGGTTACTTTTTTTGTTTGTTTGTATGTTTTACTTTTTTCTGATGGCATTTAAACCACTACAAAGTGTAACTGCAGCAGTGAAATAAGCAGACAGATGACCTCCCTAAAGATTAAAAACAAAAACAATGTAAAAACTGCTATCACCAGCACACTACATCCAATCTCCAGCGGTTGTCTGTGATCTTTCATGGCTGTACAGCTCGTATATCGTCAATGTTAGGGAGAAATGAGGGAAAAAGCACATCACAGCCTTTGTGTGACCCTCAGAATTCTGAGGGTTCTTCACTTTGCACGTTTTACAAGCCCTAAGGTCAGTCTCGGCTACCATGACACCCCGAATGTCATGGTGTTCCTGGCAGGCAGCAACTTGCCTTTGGGGACAGTCACAGGCCGTGGTCTTGGGTGTGCCCTGAACTGGCACTTCCTGGCTTCCTAAAGTGTCCTGTCTTCATAGAGGGAAGTCCTCCTCCATATGACTGGTGTGGCTATATTTTAAGCAGAATGTTATTAAACCACTTGAAAAGCTAAGCATTTTTAAAAGCAGGCTCCAAGCTATTGGAGATACAACACTCATTTTTTCCAATAATATATTTCATGATTTTCTCAAAATTCAAATAAGCCAAAACCAATCTTTTCTTCTATTGCTTCTATCTATCTATCTGTCAAAAGAACATTCACTGCATCTCCAGCATTAACTGGAGCTAAGAACATCAGCTCCGAAGTTGGGTAGAGTTAGCTCCAATCTTGACTGTGCTGCTTCCTAGCATTGAGACTTTGAGCAAATTTCTCAACGCAAATCTATTTCCTTATCAGTCAATGGAGATATTAATCTTTCCCATCCCCTAGAATTGCTGTGGGGAATAAATGCAATTAAATTAGAGACAAAACCGATTTGTAATAATCCTTCACTAAATTTTAGCTATTATTATTAAACTTAAAATAATCTCTGGTTCATGCTTCTGCTTGATCCTTTATTATCAGTCAGCTGCAGAGAATAATCTACTTGGCATTTGTGCTTTTTTGCTTTCCATTCTTAGTGCCTCAAACTTGGTTCTACAGACTCTCATCTCCACAAAATTAGATTGCTTTAACAATGCCTGTGCTTCTCCACTTGTGATGGGATTATCTCCCAATAAACCCATCATCGTCAAGTTGGAAAATTGTAGGTCAAACCATTATAATTCAGAGACCGTTTGTAATTTCAATTGATCTTCTCATTTATCTTCACTTCACTCTAACCTATATATCACTGCCAGTTTGATTTTTCATAAATAGTGCTTTTGATAGTTCTGTCCACTGCTATTGAAACTCTTTACTCATTTCCTCTTTCCTATCCTTCCGCCTGGTTTTCAAAAGCCTACACATTCTAATTCTGCTCAATCGATACATTATTCCTTGATGCAAAATCTATTTTGCTGTAGATAATTTTCTTATAATTTTTTCATTGATTCCCTCTGATAGTCAACAAATATTTATTTATTGAAGACCTACCGTGGACCACAGGCTATGGACACAAAGCATTCATAGATCTAAAAGTAGGATGTAAAAATAAATAGAATTTTTGTCCCTGCCATCAATGAGACTATCACAGACAATAGGGAATTAAACAATTCATTAGAATATGCCAGGTAAGAAGAACTCTAACATAAGTACAGTTGCCTAGCAATGGGGACACGTTCTAAGAAATGCATCCTTTTATTGTGGTGCAAATGTCACACATTGTACTCACACAAACCTAGATGGTATAGCCCACTACACACCTAGGTTATATGGTAGAGCCTATTGCTCCTAGGCTACAAATTTATACATCATGTTACTGTATTCAATACTGCAGGCAACTGTAACCCAATGGTAAGTATTTTTGTATCTAAACATATCTAAGCATAGAAAAAATACAGTAAAAATATGATATTATAATCTTATGGGACCGTTGTTGTATATGTGGTCTGTTGTTGGCCAAAATGGCCCCTGGAGTATGACTATACAGGACTAATGAAAGAGAACTATACTACTATAACATTCTGCTCTTGGGTGGGAAGGCCTTAAAATATATTAGAATTAAATGATTATAGTATAACAAAGTATTGTTTATTGCACTACGTCCTGCTCTAGGAGCCCTAGGCTCCCATAAGTTTGTGTATTCTTACCCTAAATTAAAAACGCCCTCAACTTTTCAAAATCCTAGCCATCCCCTAAAACTAGTCCCACCTCTCCCATGATTTCTTTTTTCATGATATTTGATCTTCCTCTCTGGAACTACTATATCTATTAGTCTGCATTATTTAGGTTGGTACTTGGTGTGGAATCTTCAGGTGTTTGATATTGTTTTATACATGATGGATGTATCTCCCAACCAGGTTATGAGCCTATTAAGGGTAAAATTGATGTCTTATACATTTCCTATTTTCCAGAGTACCCAGCTTAATTCTGACACAATTGTACTAATAAATAATTAGTAATTGCTTTATTTATTTTTAATGGAGAAAATGTGTAAATTTTTTAAAAGAGTATTTCTTCACGTTACTTGCTAGTCCAAAAATTCCCTAAAATCTGTTCCATGTAGCACCAGTTCTATAAGATGCTTATAAACATTACTAAAAAACTTAACTCCATGTTGAAATATTGGGGATACACTGAGTTAAACAGCTAAATAAAATTATTTAATACAGGACTACTCAGAGCCTTTAAAACTTATATAAGTTAAGTCTTTAAGAGAAGTAGAAATTAGGCAGTGTTTCCCAAATCTACCTAATGAAAAAACCCAGTTTTTGGAATTAGTGTTCACAGGGCTCACTTTGGGAAATACTGATGTCTTCCAAGATCTTTAGAACTGATTTATACATCTACCTCCATAAAACCATTTATATTGGCTTTCGCTAACCAATTAAAACTAACACTATTAGAAACTAACACTATAGAAACACTGAGTCTTACCTAAATTCTGTAACATTAGCAAAGATTTTGATAAATTTAAAACCTAGGCACAAGTTCTCCCAACAAGAACAAAGAGATAAGGATCACATTGATCCCTGCTGGGACCAACCAAAGATGCAAGATTTCTGCTGTTGATCGAAAGTTTTATAATTCTGTTATTTAATGGCTGAAATATGAGGTCTATCCCTTAGGTTTCAAAAAAGAGAGAAGTTTCTTATTTAAGAATGTATATTTCAATGAGCAGGCTAAAATGCACTTAACAATATCAAATTTGATTAGTGTTTACAACTTTAGTATGCTTTATGCATTTATTATTAATTATTAGTGATTTAATACATTGACTGCCACACTAGGAAAAATTTTTTTTCCATGGGGCCACGGTGTTTTATTATGAAAATAGAATAAAAACATTGAAAACACAGTGATCCTTTCTAATTTAATGAAAAATTTGTTATTTTTTTATTATTTTCTGTGCATGAGTTACATGCAACTTGAAAAATGGTTCTCACAGCTCCCAAAGTGAAGAGACAGGTGAGCTACCTAAGCTTCATGAGGCCCCCAGCTCAAAAGTAGCATGAGTTAAATACAACTCACATGGCAATTAATGTATTAAAGCTTTTGCATTATCTAAAACCAGTAAGTAAAAGTCAAGATCACGGGAAACAGGCTCCAGGAATTTGTGTGTAACTAAATCAAGACCAGCTTTGGTGGAACACTGTGTTGACTTTCCATGAGAGGGCAATAGTGACGTTATTGTCTGGTGAAGATATCCACAGTTTTATCGAGTCTAAGCTACCAAAGTATCCTAATCCAGACCTGGCTGAACTCCAAGGCCCTCCCTGAGACAGGTTCTAGCAAACCAGCAGCCCATGTGCTCTGCTCTCCGATGATTGCCTGGGGCCCAGAAAACCTATGAAGCCCTAATGGAAGTGATGAAACAGCTGCCATCATGCTTTGTTTATAAAGGACATGTAAGGTGACAAAGCCTGAGAAGTAGTGGTAGGACCAGGGAAAGCCAAACCTTGTCTCAACTCAACCTTGATGCCACCATATGCTTTATTTCCTCACAGGCTCCATCCCTGCAGAACGAAACCACAATATCTGAAAGAAGGAATGCTTGGCCACTGAGGCCATGTTTGAAACTTGGCGGCAATACCTGGAGAAGCCAGGCATCCGGTCACGGCCTCCACCAATCGTCACAACTGGGACGACCCCTGGATGACCCATAACCTCTCCCAGCACCAGAGCTGCTGATCTCTTTCCCTCCTGTTGATGTCAGGATCCATTCGACCCTGAGTACCCAAAACTGGTGAGCAAATGTACTATCTTCTAAATCAAAAACTCTTCTTCAGTTCAAGGAAGCTGAACTCACCAGGTTGTGACATCCAGAAATCCTTGCTGTGATCCACTCATGGAAGAGCAACGACAGGACTGCTGCTTTCAGCCACAGGTCATGGGTCTTGCCCAGCCAACCCATCAGCCTTAGAGGGACGCTTCTATGCAGGGGACTCCTTGTCTGTATGTCCTGGTCACAAGCACTCACACTGAGGTCCAAATCCACACCAGAATAGCTTCTACCTGGGCAGGATTCACCATCTTCTCAACTCTGTTTCTTGGGACTTCTGGTGGCCCAAGATCCAGTGAGACATGCAGGACCATCAAGGAGAATGTGTTTGGCAGATCTTAACCAGAAATAGACAGAAGCCCCTTCCAACCCATATGAAATCACCAGTGATTGTGGTTAATCAGCTTTGGAGACTTTGATCCCATAATTCTCTGTGTATTACTAAAACAACATTACCTTCATATTTACCAAAATGGTCCACTTTCCTCCATGCCAAAAGACATTGCCTTTACCCCAAGTGAGCATCAAACACCCACATCGTGCATGGAATCCTGGCTAATGTAGAGCCTCCATTTTGAATCCACACCTAGGACATTTGTCATTATAAACAAAGATCACTTGGATCGGTGAGATTACACCCTGGACTTGCAGTGCCTGTGTATACTACCCACCACTAAGAAACTGGGTTTTCCCTATACCCACTTCCACATACATCCATAACACCACTTCCATGCAAATCATCTCTTCCAAGTCAGTTACAAAAGCATCACATGAAACATCCCAACCTGTCATGAATTCAGCCTGTTTTTATTGAGAACCTACTAGGTGCCAAGCACTGCATTCCATCCTGGGGCTACCATGGTGAATAAGTCCCAACCCTTGCCCCAGGAAGTTTGCATTCCAATGAGGATGTCAGACGATTCAACAGCGTGAGTGCTAGAGCAGTGTGCTGAGGACCACAAGAACTCCCTCGTCTCTGTTCCTTGATCAATCACCCAGGCAGTTCCCAGTTGCCCAGGCTGACACATAGATGATCTTCGAATATGCCAAAGCAACCCACAAGATTAAAGCCAACAAGCAGCAGTCCCAAGTGGTTATCGAATGGGTTCTGGTTACCTAATGTGTGATTTATGAACCACCTGACTTTTAAACAAGTGAGATGTGCACTTACTGAGCACCTTACTGGTATGTCACCCAACTGGTGACCCTACGTGTAGCTGCTCACAGGTGAAAATCAGGCTGTGACATCAGAAGAAAGACATGGCTTCAAGTTTGGATCCCGGCGCTGATGATGACTGGGCAAATCACTTAAACTCTGGTCTTTGGTGTCTTTCTTTGCAACAGACAAATAAAAACATTATATACTGTACCTACCTCACAGGGTTGTTGTGAGAATCAAGTGAAAAATGTATGTGAAAGCACTTTTGTAAACTTTATTTTTGAATCATTCCATTTTCCATGGGTTCTTCATCCTCCCTACGAAATACAATATTGTAATTTACCAGAAGGGTGTATTCTTATCCCCTCTGTCTCCCTGTGTCGTGAATGGTACGAGAAGATGAAGTACATGCCCTCCTGGATATCTGGTTTTCAGTTTGGGGACTCTGATGCCTCACCAAGTGACAAGGGTATAATCCAGAGGACCAAAGCTGGGGTCCTGATGCCATGTAGATATCCCACAATTCACATGCCACTAGACTGGGACATCAGTCAACTCTCTGGATGGAAGCTGGTCCCCAAGACCCACGTAGAGAACCCATTCTTGGCCCTAGAGATCTAACCAGAACACAGTCATTCAGGGACTCACCTGGGTTCTGGCTTCCAGAGTAGTCACCAGCCACTCTGGGAAAGAGCATGTCTCCCAGAATGGCGGAAAGAGATTGGTTAAAGGAGACACTGACCCGATTAAATGAAATACAAGCCACACCTGACTGCCTGACCTATTATAGTTGGGTTGTCAAGGGAAATTCCTAGACACTCATTTAAATAAAGGAAATTGGTGACACATTTCTTCTTTTAGCAGTGTATCCCTGAGACCAACCTGGCTCTTGCCTGCCTGATTTTGATTTGTCTATTCCCTGTCTGTTCAGTAGACCTGTGATAAGATGTGTTTCTGGCTTACAAATCTCATGTCTCCTTTACACACACACACACAGACACACACACACACACACACACACACACACAATGAGGAGGGCCACCCATTTTTCCCATCCTACCTTTTGGCCAAGCCCTAGGTCAGCCTTCCCTTTCTGATGATTCAATATGCATTCTGGATTGGCCAATCAAATTTGAGTTCAGTGTCACCGGGGCAGTCCTAATCTGTCCCAGGCTCAAACTCGGACTTTATTTCAGTCCTGTGTAGAAGCTTAGACTGCCCACAGAGCCACTGGTAACCCAGCAATCCTTTAAGCAAAAGGAGGTGTTAAGCCTAAAATAGAAAACTTCAACTGCAATCCATCCCTCAAGTTCCTAGAGCAAGGAAAGAAGATTATAGGAAAAGTTTTGATGCAATGTGTGTATCAATTTCCAAAGTATTTTTAAATGGAATGGAAAATGACTTACAATCTCCTCGTTGCTAATAGGTCAGAGTGACCTAAGGTCACTAGGTCTTAGTGACCTAAGACACCAATTCAGTGAACTGAGAAATTCCCAGAGCTTTTCCTAAGGCTGTCTCATAGTCACATTTCATTTCAATACCTAACAGAAACTTAAAAGTTTAAAACAGTGTCTTATATATTATAGTTTACAACCAGCACTCGCTGTGGGAAGGGAGCCAGAGAGACTCAGAGTACCCACCACCCAAGGTCAGAGGCACGGAGCCAAAGGACCCAGCAAAGAGCAAGTCTGAGCCAAGAAGAAAAGCTGTTGCTGAAATGACAGACCCAGCATACGAAAGAAGATGATCTCCAAGCCATGGTGGCTGAGAAAGAAGAATAGACAGATCCGAGTTGAGAACCAAATTAAGACGTTTGAACAGGTATCAGAGTAAATAAGACTGGGCAGGAGATTGGATCACCAACCACCCCAAGATGTTTGTGTGACAGTCGCCTTTCTTGTGAGTTGCAATACTATGTCCTAGTTCCTTTTTTACGAGTAAAATTCTCAGTCCTACTGACATAGCTTACAGAGCCAACCCCAAATAGAAAACCCTTCCATACCCACAGATATACTTTTTACTATCTTTGGTTGATACGATTTTCTTTTACAGAAATTTTTAATTTTTTTTTTCATAAATCTTTGCTAGATTATTTTTTCAATAAAATGTTGTCGATAAATAATTCCTCTGGTTGAACTCCAGTTCCTTCTTTGGTATTAAAAGTGACTTTAATGAATAGTATGTCTGCACTTGGATTCCTAAAGTTATATCAGAGGAAGGCATGTTCTAATGTAGATTACATGTGAATGAGCTTGAAACAATTATAGCGAATCACCAGGCAAGAGTAGCCAAAGGGACGTTTGATAATGACACACAGGGAACATGCCAGGTTAACTTTAATCTGCAAAAAATAAATTGTACCTCTCCTCCAAAAGTCAGAGGCGATCAACTCTCTCACTGCCACATCAAGATGCAGAGACTACCCAGGGAGAGACAGACACACAAGATAGAAAAGAAGAACGCATGCAGAATTTTGCAGAAAGAGGTAGCTGAATACAGAGACCAGCCACTCCCCAAGAGCTGGCAAGCACTCCAGGCTTTTCAGAGAACTCACATTAGAAGTTCCAGTGGTAGATGGAACTGGGCCAGTAGACACCATGGTGGGGAGAGGGGAAGTTTCTATAATTAAGTCTGAACTCTGCACACTTTCAAACAAACTAAGTAGTCTTTACTATTGACAACAAGGACTTTTTTTTTTAAAGGAATGGTCCAAAGGAAACCGGGAAAGCAAGAAACAAGGGGGGAAAAAAAAGAAAGCAAGGGAATAAAACCCTTGGGGTAAAAAAGAAAAAAATAATCTGAACATCACCAGAAGAGACAGATCTATGAGCTCCCTAGTGTGAGAGACTGGAAGTTACTAACAGGAGTATTGATGTGTGTCTTTTGCAATATGCTGTACATAAAGTTGTGCTTAAATGGATTGCTTAGTAAATCGCAATTGGTTTTTAAACTTTTGTGTGAGTTCAGTTCTTCTCTATCGAATTCTTTCATGGTCTTTATAACATCCAAAATTTATAAAGAACTCTTCAGTGTTAACAGGCTACTTGTGAACATCTGAACCAGGCAGATCCCAACTGATCAGTATTCTAGAATGATCGAGCCAAATATGTAGCCATTCTTCACTCAATAAAATTGATTTCAAACCGAATATATACAAATTATACCAGAAAGATATAAAATATCATCTGTTACAGCAGCTCCTAGTGTAAATATAATCTCAAATTTCCCATCTTTTACTTCCTGCAAATAAAACTAAATTTTTTTAAGGAATTAACACAGAATTTTTTTTAACTAGGTCAAACTTTGGCAGCCACTAAACCATTGTTTGAAGGAACAAATAAAACCTAGTTAAACTCCTCGAAGGCATCCTTTCATTTATATGGAGTGCCATATAACATTCTTAACATTCTAGACGATGTTAAGCAATGAACGTAACATCGTAAACAAAATCATAACGGTCACACTCTGGGGTCAAAGAAAGACATTAAACAATCATACCGGCGATTGTGTAATTACCAACTGAGATAAATTCTTGAGGAAAGCAATAATAAGCTATTTGAGAGTGTGTGACAAAGAAATGTGACCTCGTTTAGAAGACTTGCTGGAAGAAGAAAAGCTTGAACTAAAGCAAGACCAATGAGTAGAAGTATGGGGAATAGAAGTGGGGTGTCTAGAACATTTCAGACAGATAGACCCACAAAAAACTCACCTAAGAACTGAAATGCTAAAGTGGCTATAAGAAGACAACAGATTTAGAGACCCGAAAAGAAAGGTCAGAATGGTAGGAGGTGAATTCCAGAGGTAGGAAGCCAGTCTATGTCTTAGAGCCAAGCTAAGGAACTTGGTCTTTGGCCTAACAGAATTGGAAGCCATCATGGGTTTTAGCAAAATTCATGCCTTTTGAGTCCTTTCACTGTCATTTTAATACTGTTTGAGAAGAGCATCTGTGTGTTCCATCTGAAGTCTTAAATTTGTTTGGCCTGTTCTGCTGTGTTGTATACATACAGAATGCATAATATACATGCATTTAATAAATTCAGGATTTGTTTTTTACAAAATATCACCCAAAAACTGTTGTCATCTTTTCCTAAATTGAATTGATTATCATAGTCATTACTCAGTAACTTCCACTTAAAGAGGCATTCTGAGATGTGAATTCAAGTGGTGCCAAGATTGTAGCTATTACACCCTTAAAATGAGCATAGTGAGTACAGGGATTCTGTCTTTAAAAGAGATTTTTTAATTGGCTTAATTGCAGCAGCACCGATAAAAATATTTCAGAAGCATTGTTGAGAGTAAATGAAGTAAATCATTATTATTTACTTCTCTACAAGAAACCAGGGTTCAATTTAGAATGGAGAGAAGTAATAAGGAAACCTTAGGAATACAGAGACGGCCCAATTTGCATACACACCAATACATGCACACCAATACATGCACGCCAATACATGCACACCAACACATGCACACCAATACATGCACGCCAATACATGCACACCAACACATGCACACCAATACATGCACACCAATAGCATGCACACCAATACATGCACGCCAATACATGCACACCAATAGCATGCACACCAATATCATGCACACCAATACATGCACACCAATACATGCACGCCAATAGCATGCACACCAATACATGCACACCAATACATGCACACCAATACATGCACACCAATAGCATGCACACCAATACATGCACGCCAATACATGCACGCCAATACATGCATGCCAATACATGCACGCCAATAGCATGCACACCAATAGCATGCACACCAATACATGCACTCCAATACATGCACACCAATAGCATGCACACCAATACATGCACGCCAATACCATGCACACCAATACATGCACACCAGTACATGCACACCAATACCATGCACACCAATACATGCAAACCAGTACATGCACACCAATACCATGCACACTGATACATGCACACCAGTACATGCACACCAATATATGCACACCAATACATGCACACCAATACCATGCACACCAATACATGCAAACCAGTACATGCACACCAATACCATGCACACTGATACATGCACACCAATACCATGCACACCAGTACATGCACACCAATATATGCACACCAATACATGCACACCAATACCATGCACACCAATACCATGCACACCAATACATGCACGCCAATACCATGCACACTGATACATGCACACCAATACCATGCACACCAGTACATGCACACCAGTACATGCACACCAATATATGCACACCAATACATGCACACCAATACCATGCACACCAATACATGCACACCAGTACATGCACACCAATACATGCACACCAATACATGCACACCAATACATGCACACCAATACCATGCACACCAATACCATGCACACCAATACATGCATGCCAATACCATGCACACCAGTACATGCACACCAGTACATGCACACCAATACCATGCACACCAATACCATGCACACCAATACATGCACGCCAATACCATGCACACCAGTACATGCACACCAGTACATGCACACCAATACCATGCACACCAATACATGCACACCAATATATGCACACCAATACATGCACACCAATACATGCACACCAATACCATGCACACCAATACATGCACACCAATACCATCCACACCAATACATGCACACCAATACCATGCACGCCAATACATGCACACCAATACCATGCACACCAATACATGCACACCAATACCATGCACACCAATACCATGCACACCAATACATGCACACCAATACCATCCACACCAATACATGCACACCAATACCATGCACACCGATACATGCACACCAATACCATGCACACTGATACATGCACACCAATACCATCCACACCAATACATGCATACCAATACCATGCACACCAATACATGCACACCAATACCATGCACACCAATACCAGGCACACCAATACATGCACACCAATACCATCCACACCAATACATGCATACCAATACATGCACACCAATACATGCACACCAATACATGCACACCAATACAAGCAAAACAAAAAAAGCAAAACAAAAACATGCACACCAATACATGCACACCAATACAAGCAAAACAAAAAAGGCAAAACAAAAAAAGCAAAACAAAAACAAGCAAAACAAAAAAAGCAAAACAAAAAAAGCAAAACAAAAACAGGCACACCAATACATGCACACCAATACATGCACACCAATACATGCACACCAACAGCAACACTAGGCTACAGTCTGTCCTGCACAAACCCTCTCATCCCTTCAGAGCTACCTGCTGCAGAGGTGCCCCTGCAGCTGAACATCTTCGGGGAGCTGGGGCAGGAATTGGTCATCTTCTTCTCTGCTTTCCCTGTAGACTAAGATATGGGCTTTCTCAGTTCTGCTAAGTGAATTATTACTTGTCCATCCAGTTCCATTTT